GCATAGGCGTTTGGGGATACTTGGCAAGGACACAGACACACAATGGAGCTCTCCTCTGGCAGAGTCCAGAAGGTCTCCAGTGTGACACTGAATCCTATCTGGCTTGGAGGGTTTCTCTTCTTCCACTTGTCTCACTATGAAAGGAACTCCTAGGCACTGCCCCCAGAACAGTTACAGAGATGATTCCTGAGGAAAACCAGGCCTCGGGGCCTAATTCAGTCAAGACTCACAGACCCTGCTCAGGTAGAGCCAAAAGTCACACTTGTTTCCTCGGCCCCAGCAGGAAGTGAATGTGTCCTGTTACAAGGAACTCAGCGGGCTTCCCTCGGGCTAGCTCCTAAGCCCAGTTCTGACTGGACCCTCTGATTGGACCCTCGGTGTGCAGTGCTGCCTCAGGCTGGGTCTTAATGTCCCCAAAGCCCCTGTGTGGGGGCCAGCTTGGCACTTTGGGAGCTGGGCCCGGTGGAGGCTTTGTGTCCCGGGGTGTCGCACGCACGCTGGGAGGGATGGTGGGATCCCGGGCTCCTCTTCTTCCCTTCTCTCCTTTGTTCCTGGCCATGAGGCTGGTAGCTGTGCTCTGCCACACACTCCCTGTTCGATGCACAGCCTCTCTGTGGGCCGAAAGCACCAGGCCCAATGAGTCATGGACGAGAACCCCCGAAACTGTGAGCCCATGTACACCTTTCTCTCCCTATGCTGATTATCTCGGCATTTGCTGCAGGACTGGAAAGCTGACTCACACAATGCAGTCCACACATCCCCAGAAGACTGATGTTCTAGGAAGACCCGCCCCATTACAGGTTGGAATTTATTTCCTCTTTACTGTTCCCTCAGTAAATGCTCAGCTAGGCACACTCAGCTTTCAGTTTGTTCCCTTCCCTCTCCTCAGTATGCTGAAGGCTGCTTTAGGGACCAACGTGTGAAAAAGTGAAGCCAGCGCTGGGCCTGGTGGCACACACTTGTGATCCCAGCTCTTGGGAGGCTGAGGCAGGAGGATCGCACCTTCCAAGCCAATCTGGGCAACTTAGTGAGACCTTATCATAACATAACATGCAACATACCACACCATAATAATATAACTTAACAAAACATAAGGCGTGAGGCTGTAGCTCAGTGGTAGAACACTGGCCTCATATGTGTGGTTCAATCCCCAGTACTGGAAAGCCAAAAAATGACAACAAATTAGGTGGTGGTGGTTACATAAATCTATGTATGCAATTAAACTGCATGAAACAACTGCTACTACTATTATACACACAAGTGTATACACACACACACACACACAAATGATTTTATGTAAAAACTAGAGGAATCTGAATAAGACTTGTGCATGTTCAGTGTCCAGCCTTTCGGTGTTACCATATTATGCAAAACCATCCTGGTACTACCCTGACAACTTCTTGTGATCCTATAAGTACTCCCCAAAATAACAATAATGAGGATAGTGGACCAAGGTCTACTACAGAAAGAAAAAAAGATAATGAAGAAACCTAGTCCCACGAAGGTGTCAGGCAGAGTCAGGCTGATGTATGAAGTAGTGTGACTTTATGGGGTGCAAAGCAAGAGTTAAAACAAAATTTTAAAATTGAAGAAGAAAGGACAGTTGTGATGACTCGTGTCCAGATGTCCCCCAAAGCCTCCTGCAGTCATGGGGGCTTTTGGGAGGTGGCTGGATCTAGGGTGTGTGATGCTGGGATCGAGGATGCGATGCCAGGGTTAGGGTGTGAGTGCCACCCGGCCTAAGGGTGGGCAGCCTGGACACAAGCATAAGGGATGGAAAGAGGGCTGTCGCTGGCTGCTTGCTGCCTCCTGCCCGCCTGCTCTGCGAGGCCCCTCTGCCAGGTCACCCGCCTTGGAGCAGGCCAGCTATGGACTGAAACCTCTACAAACTGTGAGGCAAATAAACCTCTCCTCCTTGAACTCTGGGGGTTGAGTATTTTGTCTCAGCAATGAGAAAAGTACCTAAGACAACAGTTGGTTCTAAAAAGTTTACTGGTAAGCACTCAACTTAAAGAGCATTACATTTAAATAATTATATATAATTATAAAACTGGAAGCAAATATTAAATGTTTAAGAAGTGAAACATGATCAGAAAAACTGCACTATAACTATTAGGCTTAAAATCTCAATATAAAGCAAACAAGTAAATAAAAACATTGAGAATAGACTTACAAAGTAGAAAATATAACTACCACTACTTTCCTTATCTTAGGAGGGGGCCAAGAAAAATATTATTTTATTTTTTATGTTGATACCAAATATACGCTGTTTTAAAAATCCCAAACCCTTAAAGCAATCTCTTAACAGAGTATAAAACAGAGCCGGGGATTTAGCTCAGTGGTTTTGCTGCCTGCTGTGCAAGCGCAAGGACCCGAGTTCGATCCCTGGTACCAAAAAAAGAATGGGAGAAAGCATTTGCAGACCACATATCTGATAATGAGCTAAAGGAACTCCTATAAAACAGTAGCAGAGTATAAAACAGAATCGGTATTTTTTAAAACTCTAGAGGAAAAAAACCAAAGAAAAATCTAAAATGCAAGATACCATGAAAAAAAAAACCCAACATTTAAAACTTTTTAAAAATTCTGATTAGCAAATAGGGGCTGGGGGTGTTGCTCAGTGGTAGAGCGCTCACCTCACCTGGCCACAGCCCTGGGTTCCACCCCAACACCATGAAAAGAAAAGAAGTTATGAAAATAAGTACAAACAACTTTCCCTTTCCTGTTAAAGACAGAGGCTCCAGATTGGCCAAAAGAAGGTTTCCCCACATGTTTTGCCCAAATTTTAAGTTTTAAATTAATTCTATCTGGGCTGGGGATGTAGCTCAGTGGTTCTGCCACCTGCCTCGCAAGCGCAAGGTCCCAAGTTTGATCGCCAGTTCCAAAAAGAAAAAACATAAATTAATTCTATCTATGAACTGATATATCAAAAGAAATCAACTAATAAAGTCAACTTTAAAAAAAAAATGGATAAAACATATCAGGAAACAAAAACACAAGAAAGCAGGCATGGCATTGTTAATATCAGACAATGAGAAGACTAGTGATCAGGTATTAAAATGAATTATAAACCAACTGTAATTTTAAAAGCTTAGTACTGATACAGTAACCAGTACGTCAAAAGGACTGAAACTTAGTGTCTAATAATAGTGTAAAAGAACTTCTACAATAAAATAGACTTTTATTAGGTGAAAAATGACATTTTACAATGCAAAAACAGAAACAACTGGTAATTTAAAAAAGTCTTTGCAAGGTAATAAAACTCATTAAGGCCTTCCGAATGAAGGCCTTGACCTAACTGGGTTTGGGTTAGTACTTGGCAATTTCGCTATTCCTCTGGAAAATCTGTTTAAGTGAGATAAACGTCACTTCAGGTCAGACGGTGCAGCAAATTATGAGAAAAAAGTTCACTTTCTAGAGCCTTCTGGACTTCAGATTCGCAAGAGAGGGACTGAGCACCTGCGTGTACAACGGAACACGGGCCTCTACCTCAGTGTTAATCGTAAGAGACAGGTTTGAAAAGTCATGAAAGAGTCATAAAAAGGAAAACTACACAGCTTTAAAATCACTTTTTCAAAGAATGTTTAAAAAGATGTGAAAATATTCAGGAATACTAAAAAATGAGTAAGATTTAAAAAATGAGAACGTATAGCTCAGCAGTAGAGTGCTTAACTAGCTTGTACAAAGCCCTGATTCAATCCCCAGCATCAAGATAGATAAAAAAATAAATAAGATGAGTTTATCTTTATAAAAGCAAATCATAACAGATGTTTTTAATTCCAGAATAAAAGACTGTAAGGCACCAAACCAGGAGATTAAATTAGCCACCTGACTACATTTAAAAAATATTTTTCTGTATTTTCTAATCTGCTGTGACAATCAGGAAAACAATTCAACAGTTTTCAAGGCACTTGAGGCTGCCTTTCCTGGACAGGATTAGGCCTTTGCCACTCAGGGGACAGCAAATCCACATCTGTCCTCAGGGACCCTCTTGTCCCTGCCGGGCTCGGGCACCACCTGAGAGTGGTCTCTGCTACGTCCTCGTCACCCATGCCCCGCTGGCCCCTCCGGACAACGTGACAGAGCGCCAGGACTTTCCTACCTCTGCCAAATGAAGCACGTGACCTGCCCGTCAGCAGTGCAGGGCACCAGTGGTGCAATCAGAGCTTGACTTTGCCCACACCTTTGCCTTACGCAGCTACAGAAAGAAACAGACCAGCAAGGCCTGTCCAGATGTCTGGCTTTGGCCCTTTTCCACTGTACTCATTAGATTTCAATCATTTAAGGAACTGTGGGGCACAGGGAGAGCAGAGCTCACCGTGCCCACCGTGGAGCTTCTCTAGACTACAAGGACACAGCTGCGACAGAACAGGCAATGAGACCTGATGATTCCGGGGGGCTGGTGCATGCTGAGAGGGGTGGTGGCACGGAAGGGCCCTCGTGGGGGACAAGCAGCGGTCCCACTCAGCCACAGGCCACTCCTCGATGGCTACAGGGTGGGCGCTTGGCCAGAGATCTGCAGGGTCCCTTCATGGTTAGCATAACACCCTGGCCTCTGGGGGTCCCCCAGGTCTGGCATTCTCCACTAGCTTTGGTGCCTAAAGGTTTCCAAGCCTTACGCACCCAAAGGTCACACGCGACAGACTCTTTGGGCTCTCTGGAGCCTCCATTCCAAACTTGGAAGAAAACATAAATAAACAGCCAGTCACATACAGGTTCGTGGGTGGACAGTTACTCTCTTGGATGCAGACTCCATTCATCTTTTCAAACTATTGCTCAGATGAAGAGAAATCCTGTGCAAAGCTTTGGCCACACATAAATTACTTGTGAAGTTCAATGAGACGTTAACTCTTGTAACTTAACCCCACAGAAAATTACTTGATTGCATGATTCTTCTGTATTTGTGGAGTGCGAATCCTTCCGCTCTCCCTTCTCCCATCCAGAGCTGAGGGACAGAGCCCCATGCAACACCACGGCCTTGCAGGAAGAGGCGGACTTACCCTATCCCAGCTGAAACACAGGCCCAGGCGGTCAAGCTGGCTCCTCATGTGTTTAATGTTACTGTGGGACAAAGGGAAACAAGTTTGGTTTGGAGTGCGGGGTTAAAGCCACAAGCAAACTACACTTTGAGAATGTGGAGAGAAACTGGAAAAGTCTAGATTATTCAAAGGGGCTTTAAGTGTTGTTTTGCCCCAGCAGAAAAATTTTTATCACTAAGAATCAGTGAAAATACCAATATATTGGAAGATGCCCATTATTTGGCCACATGCACAACCCACTGGAAGCCAGAGTGGTCTTGGCCCTGGGAACTGGGCTCTTCTCCTCCTGGCTACGCAGAAAGATAGCCCCTTGGGTACGCATACTCCAGACCCATCCTATGTCTATATCCTGTACAGGTTTGAGCCAAGCAATTACAATTTTAAAAGTGAATGAGAACAGAAACTTTAATGGTCAAATTGTGGGAATTCAAATGATTGGGTTGGGGTGCAGCTCACTGGTGAGGCGCTTACTCAGCCTATACAAGGCCCTGGGCTGGGTCCCAAGCACCACAAAAAAGGAAATAAACCAAACAAAGACACAGTGCTCTGTCAATCAAAATCTAAAACTCAAAACTGCCCAACAATTGGGCAACAGGGAGATAAGTTAATCAATTTAGAATATAACATGGAATAAGGGAATAAATCATTTTTAAAAGACCTCATTCATTTCTACTGCATCTTCTTTCAGTTCCAACACACTGAAAACATGAAGAGCATGATCTCTGACTGACTGATAACAGTTAATTTAATTCCAGGCCCTGAGCTAAAGACCGCAGAAAAGTGCTGCACCTTTATTCAGTCACATGAGGTAGCAACGATGCCCATCTCTCAGGTAAGTGAATCAAGGCACAGAGAGGTTAAGCAATTTGTTCAAGGGACCAGTCCCCAAGAATGAGGCGGCCCTGCGACCCAGGCAGCCCGGCTTGGGCTGGAAAAGGGCCGGGCGGTGAGCACTGCGAGCTCCACCACAGTCTCTGTCACAACTACTCAACTTTGCCACTGTGTCACGAAAGCAACTGGGGAAGATGCACAAATGAGAGCAAAATTTTATTGACAGAAACAAGCAGGCGAGACTGGCCCATCAGCTACCATCGGCCAGCCTCTCCTCGGGCTCACATCACACTCAGGCCACATTTGATCAACCGTGAGTCAAGCTTTCTTCCCTTCCCGCATCCCTTCCATTAACCTAGAACTAACTATAACTGGAAAAGTAGAAAGTGAGATTAAGAGGAAAAAGGGAAACAGGAATAGTAGAGGGCGGCAGGGAATGTATCCTTGGACAAAAGACAGCGAAGGGAGGTGAAGACCGAGACAGGCTGCCAGCCATGCCCAGCGTCCTGGCCTTGTCCTCCCTCCCACGCGGATGAGCCCCTTCCTTGAGAGAAATAAAGATGAAGAGTTAAAAGCCAGAGAAAATTTTAGTAGTGTTCAAACACAGGTCAAACTAAAGTCAAGAGGACAAGAAGCATTACAGAAACTGAATGCAATTCTTTCCTCCCAAATGCAAATATGCGAAGGAAGAACTTGGTAAATAACAGCATCCAAATGAATGTGATGTACAAACACCAGCCGTCTTGGATCTTTAGTAGATAAAGAACAAACACCTGCTTATCTCTCGATAGGCTGTAGGGTTTTCCTCTGCTTTCTACTTCTCCTGTATAGGCTAAAAACGAACTTCAGAGTTTTGTTTTTTGGGTTTTTTTTGGTACAGGGGCTAGAACTTGGGACCTTGTGCTTGCGAGGCAGGTGGCCGCACCACTGAGCTAAATTTGGCGGCCCAGGGTTTTGTTTTTTGCATGTGGCTGTAAACACGTACCTCTGTGTCCAACTTTGTGGGTGTAAGTTCCTCTCGATGGCAGCATTTTCAGCAGGTAACCCAAAGGCATCCCATCCCATGGGGTGGATGACCTGGAAGGAAGAGAGAAATGCCAGCCATGGCAAATCACTACATCCACAAGCAGCTTCCCCCGGGGCGGACACACTTTACCCTCCTTCCCTGGGTGATCCCCAAGTCTGTGTCGCAGGCAGCCCGAGATGCCAGTGCAGCAGGAAACCTAGCAGGTTCCACACCAAAGTGCTTATCTCTGAGGAAGGGTTTTCATGGGGACATTTTCCTTTCTCTTTCTTGTCTGTATTGTCTAGAATGAACCCAAACTGCTTTCCTGCAATTACAAGACGTTCTTCTCAGTTTCAAAAATCTGTATATGTAAAATGTGTAAGCTTTCAAAATGCTCCTCCCGGATCAGAAGTCTCCAGTTACCGGACTGTGCTTTCTCAGATGGCAGCGAGAAGTCACCCACAGCTATACACATTTCAACTTACTGGAAACTAGATAAAATTGAAAATCCAGCTCTTCAGTCTCACTGGTCACTTTTGAAAAGTGTGACCGCCACTCGTGGCTGGTGGGTCCCAGCCAGAGGGTGCAGGTACAGACCATTCCCATGGCCCCAGGAAGGCGCTGGACATGTGTCATGACTGAGGGCCACTGGTGGCTCCCAGCAGCCCTCGCTCTACATTCACCCACGAAGGTCCGTCCAGCTTCTCCTGGGTGGCCCGGGCCACTCTCTCTCGTGAACTCACCTGAACCCGGCACACATGCCCACCTGGTGCCCAGCACCACACCTGCCCAAGTTTGCCCTGGACCCCAGAGCTCTGCTCTTCTCCCCTCTCCTGTAACCGAAGCAACACCCTTGACAGGCCCTTGAAAGGCGCGTCACCCATTTCTCCCTTCCCGCCCTATAGTAAGGAAGGGAATCCCATTCCTACACAAACAACCAGAGATGTGAAGATTAACCTGGGAACGTGCCTAAGGACAGAGCAGAACAGCTCCTGAGAAGGGTGTAAGGAGATCTTCTGACCAAGCTCTGTATGGAGTTACAGTGATTTCTAAGCTGCCCACCCATTTTAAATCGGTTGCAAACCACTAGCTATGCTTTGGCGTAAGATATGCTTCAGGTGCAGCTTCCTGGTCTATGCTGTGGGGGTGATGATGGGAACTACCTCCACAGGTCACTGGGAGGACCGAATGAGTTAACGTAAGACAGTGCTGAACGCAGTGCCTGCCAGACAGTAAAGTGCTATGCTGAGTGCTGGCCATCAGCATAGTCACTAAAGATGACTGCTTTTGAATCCTTTCCGGTAAGATATTTCCATTTTCCAAAGGACAAGAAATCTCAAGATCTTCAAATGCAAAACTTTTGAGATACATCTTCTACCCCATCTCCCTTATTTGATAGTTTAAGGAAATATGAAAATATTCCTAGAGGGCCGGGGATGTAGCTCACTGGTGCTGCACCTGCCTGGCAAGTGCAAGGTGCTGAGTTCGATCCCCAGTACCAGAAAAAAAAAATTCCTAGAAGTGGAATTACAGAGTAAAAGAGTGCAAGGTCACTAGGAGTTCTGATGGACAGAAACAGAAGGCATCCCCAGGACGCCGTGCCAAGTCACACTCCCAGCGCACGTGAACACCGAGTGTTCTTCCGGCTGCAGATTCGGCCCGAGGCCTCTCTAGGTGCACACGAGTGTCACCCCGAGTGTCACCCCGGCCACCTCTGCCTCGGGCTCCCGAGCACCTGCGATTCAGTCTTCCAGACTGGACTCATCTTGCAGTCCCTGCTGCCAGATCTGCTCTCTCCAAGGCCTGCACCCCTTTGGGGAGCCGGGGCTGCGTGCAGTCAAGTCAGCCTTACGTTATGCACACGGTTATTGTGCCGGGGTCAGGAGTCCAGTGGAGTAAGTCACCCAAATAACGCAGGCTGCCCATGTACATACCCATCTGACTCCCCGGCTGGGGAAGAGGAAGTGCAACAAAGGCCTGCTCTCGGGGCCTTGTGTCCTCTGCAGGCCTCAAGGGCAGACCTGTCCTTCCCTGAGTCTGCACAAAGAATCTCGCTGACCGAAGCCACCTGAACTGTTGAGCATCATAAGCCACGATCTCTGTGGAGTACCTGGCACAGCACCCAGCACAGTGCTGGCACTCTACCGAGCGCCAGCTGCTGTCACCCATCTTTTTGGTCTTTCGCATCTCACATCCCCAGCACCTGAGTCAAGACTTCAGCCCCTGTCTCCAGCCACATTCCACATGATGGCTATGTGACAAGAGGCAGGGACAGTCCTTACCTCAAGGTATCATATCCTGTCTCGGACATTCCTCACGGTGGGGCACTTACGGCGCGTCTCTGCCAAGGGCCAGAACCAAAGCAGGCCGATTGCGCAGCTCAAAGGCGGAGCCAGCCACCGGGCCTCTGTGCAGTCATGGGCGAGCGGGTCTTCTTTCCCAAATAATGAACGGCTCACACCAGGTGACTGAATTGAAGGTAGTCCAGCTGTTCTTGCCACAGCTGGCTGGAGCTGGGCCGGTCCATCAGCTAAGGGCAGCTGCCTCTGTGCTGGGCAGGAAGGGCCCAGTCTCCAATCACCCTGGGCAAGGACATGGCCCTGCAGTGGACTCTGCCATCTGGGGGTGGCGAGCACCCGACAGCTCACTCACATCCACCTCTAGAGGACGCAGGCTCTGGTCACCAACAGCACCGGGAGCTCTGAGCTGCTGCTCCCAGGAGCCTGGCTGCCCTGTCTTGGGCCTCATTTCCGAGGCCTGGGCATTTAAGCACCCCAGGTTTCCTGAGATGATTCCTGCATCCCTACCCCATCTGAGGTCAATTGCAACAGATCCCTTTTCTGTCTGATGTTTTTCAAATGGTAAATGCAGCACAAGCCGAGCTGAGCCAGGAAATGACGGCAGAGTGAGAGGGTGAGGCTGACCCTCCCTGCCTCCCACCGCCCCGCCCTCAGCTCCTGGATGTCGGGGACCCCAGCGTTTGTCTCCTTGCAGACACATGAGCATGTATGCGGGAGCTTGCTGATTTTTGTAGACACAGAACCCATTCTATCGTGGATGCCTGTGCACAACATGAGAGCATGCATGTGGGATATCTTTTTAACTACTGCTCCTCCAATGTCACCTGGTCCTGGTGCATTCGACCTTACAGATGGGCCGTGGGAGCAGAGGGAGGCAGTGCCTGCCCTTTCCCAGGCTGGAGCCAGGCTGCGTGCTGGGGAGGGAGGGGACTCGCTTTCTCTTTCGTCAGGAGCCACAGGGCCGTGGGTGGCTCAGCATGACCTCGTGGCGATGTCCAGGAGCAGAACGGGCCCTGGAGACAGACAGGCCCTGAAGAACTTCGGGCCCTGGGCCCAGCCCCACCAGCCCGGCTCTGACACTTGCTCGGATCCTGTGCACTGCACCTAATTGAGAAATGCAAACAAAACCCCCTTTCCTCTTGAGCTGAGCTGAGCTGAGCTGAGTTTCAGACCTGGGCAGGAAAGAATCCTAACTAGAACAGACACCATTTAGGATGCAGCTTTCCTTAGAAACATTCTCCTGTGTTCACTGTCAAGCTTTGCAGTTCTTTTTCTTTTTCATTTTCAAGAGCTTAAAAAACAATCCCAGTTTTGGATTACTAGAAAGTTCTGCATACTTCCACAGCCAGCACCTGAGGTCTGCTTCCAGCTGGGCAGAATAATGCACCTGTTGTATAACTGTTCCGCAGAGAAGAGGGCCTAATTACCACTTGGTTGTCTTTGTCAGAACTGCCAAGATGGCACCAATTCAATGTTTCTGCCTGCTAACATTCTGTTAGGTGCTGTCCATATTTTTGAATAAAGTCAATACAGACACTGTCACCAAAAAAACCCATCTGGATTTACGTAATATACTTATTCATTTCTATTTTTGTTTCTAGATGGAATTAACATGAAGAGATATTCTTAGTTCACATGTTATCCAAGCTGCCTATGAACATAAAGTTAGCAATATCTTGAAGTTCCTTAATATTGCACATTCTTAGCAAAAGTTAGCAAAATAAATGTCTATCACCAAAACTCATTTCAATCCTTCCATAGTTAAGAAGTAACTACACCTACAGCTCACATGTGCTGCCTGGGCAACTTACCCTCCCAAGAAAAGTGCCAGATGTGTAGGCCAGGGCCCAGCTGAGAGCTCCATTTCCCTAGGCACTGACCTCTTCCTGTCTTTCGAGTACTTTCTGCAGCTTCTGATCATTTTTCCATGGATGTGATTTAATTTTTACATCTAATGAGGACACACATTGAAATATACATCATGTTGATGTGGCATGATGGAAATGTGACATCACAGAGGGTGGTGGAAGACTAGAATGATAATTTTAAAGTAATAAATGTAAAAATATTCAGACTGAATCAAGCAAAGATCCTTGGTAGATTAACTTGGAAATCCCCACAATGAACCTACAAAGTCGGGTCAATCACCATTTCTACAACAAATTCTTGAAGGATATAAAACTAAACAAGAAGCAAAGGGGTCAGTGAAGCCACCCAGAGATCTGGAGGAGCAGGACACTGCCACTACCTGCAGACCTCAGGGACAAAGGAAAAGCAGAGTCCACAGGACCCAAAGGCTGGGGTCAGCAGCAGCCCTTCCCCACACAGGCTCGTCGCATGGAACAGGATCAGTGGATGGGCCAGAAGCCAGGCGTGGATGGGGGGAGGGAGAGAGTTCCTGGCTTCGCGGACACTGTGGTCAGGGGCCGGCCTCCTGCCACCTGCAGGAGAGCAGGGAATGCACTGGACATGGGCCAGAGAGCGGACCCGGCTGCCAGGTGAGACCGCAGGAGCTACCAATGGGGCACGAGCACCGGGCTCAGAGCTCACCCAGCCAGGAGGTGAGGCCTGGAGCCAGGGCCCCCGCAGGGGCCCCCGCCTCCTCCAGGCTGAGCCCTGATGTCTCAGAGGCGGCAGGCAGGCTGTGACGGGGCTCGGGGGAGGACCCAGTTCCAGAGAACAAAGCAGGGACAGGACTCTGAGGCTACTTCATAGGGGCACCGGTGTGCTGGGGGATCCAGGGGCCACAGCCTCGTCTATGCTGCGTTTTA